CTACTGCTTCCCTAACCAGTCCAGGGAGGGGCAGCCTCACCCTCAGGGACTTGCATTGGTGTATCCTTGTTGGGAATTGTGGTACTAGTGTTTCATAGTCATGAGGGTGTGTGGTACCAGTGTTTCATAGTCATGAGGCATACCCTGATTGCCTGGGTTGGAAGGATCTGAGCCAATCTTGTAAGCTTTTCTATCTGTAATAGTGTACATATCCCCATCATGGTCTCTTTTCCCACTTCTGTAGTCCCACCTAAAACTGTTTTAAATTGATCTGCCATCACTCATGATTTTGTAAAAATTTAATAGCCTATGGATTTTGTTTTCCGTATCCTATTTAAGTGGCCACTTTTCTGTGCATTCTTGGACACATTGATGGCCTCATACTGATGGTCTCCCTCATCTAGAAGACTTGTCGTTGGTTTTGCCTTTTTCCTGTTTAATAAAATATATTTGAACTTGGGGTATTTTTCCTCCTCTAGAACACTATGCAGCAGTACAAAACTGATATAAACCCACTAGCATCAAGTTGACTTTGACTCATGGTGAACATAAGACAAATAGAACTGCTTTATGAGCTTGCAAATATTTAAGTGAGCAGAAAAATTCATTTTTTTCTGTGCTGGAGTGAAAGACCTAAAATAAGCATAAGACCTAAAAAAATAGAAACCACCAATGAACCCGGAAATAGAAAACTGATTTAATGAGTAAGTTATGCCTATTCCTAGAAAGCTTAATACAACTGTCCAAAGAATTGCAGTGGCCATGCAGAGGTGTGATCCCTTTGATGCTCTGCCAGGAATAAGAACTAAATACTGGTGGTCATCAATCTTGGAAGTATTCTAACCAATCAGCCTCAACTCTCCTAGATGGGCTACTCACTGTTTGTGTCCAAGCAGCTTCCATATGAGGTGGGTCCTGCCCTCCCTGGGCTGCATGCCTGGATGAATTTAAGTTCTATGGAGGTGGGGTAGGCAAGCACAGAAAAAGGCCTGAGGTTTTAGCGGTTGGACTGTTGTCCCTACACTAGCTGAACATCTCTTATATAGAAAAATTAAAACTACTAAAGTGTAATGCAAATCCAAAAAATGTCTAATTAACTAATTATTTAGCCTTTTTGTTGTTAGGTACCCTTGAGTTGTCCGTGACTCATAATGAAACACTGCCTGGTCCTATGTCATCCTCATAATTGTGGGGAGAGGAGGGTCCCCAACAAATCATCACAGGTCCAGTAGGTGCAATTGTGCAGCGATAATAAGTAAAGATTATGGTAAAGTCATAGAGAGCAAGAGAGATAGAGGAGAGATTGAATTAATGGAGTCAGACACAATTCATGGTAGCATGCTCACCTCAGCCCCGCTTGGTGGTCTTCGTGTGTGTGTGTGTGGGGGGGCAGCTTCGAGAGCAGGAGAGAGCCCCCACTTTATTGCTAACCAAGGGTTATATCTCCTTAGGGGGGCATGATTATAGGTAACCACATGTCACAGGAAGGGGCAGTACAATAGGCATACGCATTGTAGGAAGGGGATGTATGATAGGCATAAGCGTGACAGGAAGGGGATGAGCTAGGGGTGTGCCCATAGGAATGCGAAGGTCTAGGGGTATACATGTGACAAGATGGTCGGACCCTAGATTCATGATAGTTGTCTAACCTTGGTCATCCTTGGGAGGGCTTGACCTCTCTGGGGTCTCCTACAAGGAAACAGTCAACTACTATCCTTATCAGAAGGGAGTGGGCCTTACTTGTTGTGGGATAAACAGTGGTGACTGCTTGCTCTAGTTGGCTGATAACCCTTAGGGCGAATAACCCCTGATCTACTTCTGATGACCTCCAAGTGTATAGTCCTTTGCAAGCAGCTAAGTTTGGCATATATTTGGGGGAGATGACTTGGGAAAAATCCTTGTTTCCCACACACAATCACTATGTTTGAGCCCATGTTTACTGCTACTGTGCCAGTCCATCTTGTTGAGGGCCGTATGTTTTTTGGTAGACTCTCTACTCCATCAATCATGATGCCATTTTCTTTCCTGATAACATGTATGTGAGCATTCTGGTCGTACATCTTCCACCAGTGGTTTGTTCATTCTTCTAGAAACCCATGGCATAGTAAATATCCTTAGCCAACAGCATACTTCAAATCCATCTAACTTATTCTTTGTCCAATTTTCCAATGCCTATGAAGTAATCAAGAATGCTATGGCTTGGATCAGACACATCTTAGTCTTCAAGTCTTTTTTTTTAACACTTTATCTTTTTGGTGTGTAGATTTGGTCAAAGAAATATGATCCTTGGGCTAAATGGGTCACCAATTTGCAGGCATCTTTTCACTTTACACATGACTAAATCCATGGACTTGTTTTGGATTTGCAGATGGTGCAAGGCTTCCAAGGTGCTGGCTTAAAAAAATTAATCTTCTGTTTTCCAAACTTTCAGTGCATTAAAAACATTATTTCCTTTTTTGGTGCCTCTGAATTGATAAGGTTTTCAGTGGCTAATTTCTCAGAAGTGGGCAGCCTGTTTCTTCTTTGTAGTGTGTTCTTAGTCTGGAACATCCACTGACATTCGTTCTTCTTGGGTGACCATGCAAGTACTTGAACTGTTGATGACAGAGCATCCAGTTTCACAGCAACCTGCAAGCAGTACACACACAGATGAACAGACACATTATGTGCTTCAGGATTATGTCCTCTTATCATATTTGTTCAATCTGTATGCTAGCAGATAATTTGTTCAATCTGTATGCTAGCAGCCTGACAATTGTTCCTGTGCCTGAACCCATTGTTGCAGCCACTGTGCCAACCCATCTAGTTGAAGGCCTTCCTCTTTTTCACTGCCCTTCCACTTTACCAAATATGATGTCCCTCTCCACAGACTGGTCTCTCCTGACAACATGTCCCAAGTATGTAAAATGAAGCCTGATCATCCTTGCCTCTAAGGAGCACTCTGCCCTTACTTCTTCCAAGACAAATCGGTTTGTCCTTTTAGCAGTCCATGGTACTTGCAATATTTTTCTCCAATACCACAATTCAAATGCATTGACTCTACGTCGGTCTTCTTAATTTAATGTCCCTCATGCATATGATGCAGTGAGAATACCATAGCCTGGGCAGGAGTACTTCAGTCCAAAAAGTAACCGCCTTGCTTTTCAATACTCAAAGGGGTCTTGGGCAGCAGATTTACCTAATGAAACGTGTCGTTTGAATTCTTTACTGCTGCTTCCATGAACATTGATTGTGGCTCCAACTAAGACAAACTTCTTGACAACGTCAACCTTTTTCTGCATTTATCAGCATGTTACCCATTGGTTCATCACTTGTGAGGATTTGGGTCTTCCTTACATTGAGTTGTAATCCATACTGAAGGCTTCAATCCTTGATCTTCATCATCATGTGCTTCCAGTCCGCCTCACTTTCAGCAAGCAAGGTTGTGTGATCTGCACACTGCAAGTTATTATTATTAATAAGCTTTCTAATCCCGATGCCACATCCTTCTTCATATAATCTTGCTTCTCTGAGGATTTGCTCAGCATACGGATCGAATAGGTATGCTGACAGGGTACAACTCTGTTGCACACCTTCCCTGATTTTAAACCATGCAGTACTCCTTTGTCCTGTTTGAACAACTACCTCGTGATCCATCTAGAAGATGCGAATTAGTACAGTGAAGTGCTCTGGAGTTTCCCATCCTTCTCTGAGTCATCCATAGTTTAGTGTGGTCCACACAGTCTAAAGCCTTTGCATTAGTCAAGGAAACACAAGTAAACATCTGTCTGGTTTTCTCTTCTTTCAGCCAATATCCATCTGACATCAGCAATGATAGCCCTTGTTCCACGTCCTCTTCTGAAACCAGCCAGAACTTCTGGCAGTTCCCTGTTAATGTACTGTTGTAACCATCGCTGGATGATCTTAAGCAAAGGTTTATTTGTGTGCAATATCAATGACTTCAATCTATAGTTTGGGCATTCTGTTGGGTCACCTTTCTTTGGAATAGGCACAAATATGAATCCCATCCAGCCAGTTGACAAAGAAGCCATCTTCCAAATTCGTGAGTGCTTGCAGTGCTTCTTCAGCTTTCTGAAACATTTTAATGGGTATTCCATCAATTCCTGGAGCCCTGTTTTGGGCTAATACATTCTGTGCAGTTTGAACTTCTTCATTCAGCACCATTGATTCTTGCTCATATGCTACCTTTTTAAATGGTGGAATGTCAACTAGTTCTCTTTGGTACAGTGACTGTGTATTCTTTCCATCTTCTCCAAATGCTTCCTGAATCATTTAATATTTTGCCTATAAAATCTTTCAAAATTGCAACTCGAGACTTGAATTCCCTGTTCTTAGGTGCCTTCAAGTTGGTTCTGACTTATAGCGACCCCATATACAACTGAACGAAATACCACCTGGGCCGGCACCATCCTCACAATTACTCTTATCTTTACAGCCCCCTGTTACAGCCACTGTGTCACTCCCTCCTTCTCTGTTGGACAACTAGTCGCTGCGGGTGGGGCCTGGCCACCCAACCACCACCACCAGCTATGGGGCGGGGTTGGGGTGGGGGAGGGGTGGTTAAAGCCTCTTGTTAAGGCCTGGGAAACGATTTTGGGTCAATTCGACTCCTAGGACTGTGTTCTTAGCTCTGGTCCTAAATTGCTGCAACTCACCCCCACTCCACGCCCCACCTCCAGGTTTTCCGGGAATAGGGAAAGGTTCCAACCTTCCAGAGACCTGCTGGCCGTGCCTTAGGGCGGCCCCTGCGCACCGCGGAGGCAGCCCCGGGCCCCGCCCTTCCGCCACGCCCCCGGCTGCCGGCAAACCCGGGAGCACGGATTCGACGGGCTGGAGGCGCGCGGCGCTGGGCATGCTCAGTGACCTAGCTACTGGGCCGAGGCCTTGGGACTCCAGGTCCGGAAGCGCAGTGAGGGACCGTGGCGGAGCGGGAAGTGGGAGGGAGCAGCGGGAGGAGCTGTGGGAGTCGCTGGCGATTGCTGGGCGTCAGGCCCGTGGGAGCCCGCGGGGCCGGGCCAGGATGAGCCATGGCATCTATCAAGGTGGCCGTGAGAGTCCGCCCCATGAATCGCAGGTGAGTGGGGTCACTCGCGCTTTCCTTTCACCGCACCCTCACCTGGAGGAACCCCCCCCCCAGCTCTGTTCCAAGGCCAGCCTGAACTTGAGCGGTGGCCCTGGCCTACCGGGCCCGGGTTGTGGCCTCTGGGGCTTGGGCGACTTGTGAGTTTTCTGGTCTTGGCATGTTTCTCTGGAGGGGCATTCAGGGGAAAGTGTTCACAAAGCCACGCAGAAGACCCCCACAAACTCTTCCCTTGACATTTCTTGGGAAGCTTGCAAACAGCTTTTTAGGGAGCATCAAGGGGCCAACCCCTGCAGAGGTGAAATCCTTTCAGCCAGGAGTTTAGGGGTCGCTCTTGGGACACCCAAAGCTTTCAGGCAAAGCCCTTGCTTGTTTCAATTGAGAAGCTCTCTTACTATTAACTCTACCCCCTTTTACTCCCCTATAAGGGATTTATAGTTTCTAATCAGCAAATGAACCAGGCGTCACTTTAGGTGAAAGGGCTGATGGGAAAACTTCCACAAAGTTTGGACTCCCAGACAAAAACTGCCACTTGCGCACACATGTTTGAAATATTTAGAGAGCAGAAGGGCTGTGAGCACATTTGGAATGGAATCTTTTCACAAAGTAATGCTTTTCAGAATGATTTGACTCCGTGGTCACTGGAGAATCATCTGTTCTTTTGCTATGGAAATGTTAAACTTTTAAAAAATTGGCTTAACTCTGAAGAATGCACTAGCTCTAAGGTCGTGGTATGTGTCTTCCGATTTGATAATGGCAATTCACACAAAGACATTTGTTTTTATTGGCTTCTCAGTGGAGTTGCTGGACTTTTCAATTACCACATGGCTTTCCAACTTCTGTCACTTTGGTGGCATTGGTGGCTCTGATAGTTGATTGGAACGTCAGAAGGACAACATCAAAAGACTGTCAGACTAAACAACTTATTTAACTCATCTGTTTATTTGTTTGTTTACTTTTAAAACTGGCCAGTTGTTCTAGCTCTAACTCCTTGTGCCGGTATGTTTAACAAAATGAAACTTTGCTTAGCCCTATACCATCTTCATGATTTATGATATGTGGGAGCCCATTGTTAGGGCTGCTGTGTCAATCCAGTATTGGTAAGTAAAAACTAAATCAAACCACTGCTATAGGGGGATTCCTACTCATCATGGCTCTATATAAGGTTTCCAATGCTATAACCTTTATTGGAGCAGGTAGTCTCCTTTGTCACCCTCACAGCCACTGATGGAAAGTCTGGAGCCATTCTGGCTTGTAATATTTGGAAACCAGCACTTTTAGAACTCAATGTTTTTGTGATTTTCAAGTTATCTCTAAAGCTGTTCAGGGAAGTCATTTTGACTTTTTTGTAAACCCAATGAGAATATATATATATTCTTCCGTACACTCAACCAGAACTCAAAGTCATTTACATTGTTAAAAAAAGTTCTTTTAAATAGTGGATTTATATGTATTTTTTTCCTTCTACAAAATAGTATGAGTTGTATTGACTCACATTAGAGAGTACTAGTCCAGTACCGTCCATTGTTCTGGGTGTTATTTCCAGGACCAGGTGCAGGAAGCCTTGTCTGTGCCTTCTAGGAACCCACTGTCTGCTGAGGGACGTGACTCACAAAATACAAGGCCAGCTGTGAGCGGGCCTAGCCAGTCTAGGCCATTTTGGCCCAGACATATGTATAGATTGATAGGTTGGTATTTGTGCTATCAACAGGAAGCTGGTGGTACCAGGTTAGTGAAGAGGTAAGGAAGGCTCATTCTGGTCCAAAAATGGAAGTGGGAAGGTGGAGAGATAAGCTGAGACAGTTCCCTGGCAGAATTTATGGGACTTGACAGTTCACTGGATGGGAAGGAGAGAGATGGGTAAGAGTAAGGACCCACTAACGGAAGTTTGATGCTCAAGAATGTAGAAGAGCTTTGATGAAGGAACATGTTTGAAGTTGGTGAGTTGTCTTTTGGAAATAGAGAATTATATGAGAGGTCCTAGCTGCTACATGGAAGCAACATGCCCAGAGAGATTATTTTTTTATTTTTTATTTTTTTTAACATTTTATTAGGGGCTCATACAACTGTTATCCCAATCCATACACACAGCAATTGTGTAAAGCGCATTTGCACATCGTTTATCAAAACATTTTCTCTCCATTTAAACCCCCGACATTAGGTCCTCATTTTCCCCCTCCCTCCCCGCTCCCCCCTCCCGCATGAGCCCTTGATAGTTTATAAATGGGTATTTTGTCATATCTTGCCCTGTCCGACGTCTCCCTTCATCCACTTTTTGGTTGTCTGTCCCCCAGGGAGGAGGTCACACACAGTTCCATGTAATCGGTTCCCTCTTCCCTACCCATCCTCCCTTTACCCTCCCTGTTTTGCCACTCACACCACTGGTCCTATAGGGCTCATCCGTCCTGGATTCCCTGTATTTTCAGTTCCTATCTGTACCAGTGTACCTCCTCTGGTCTAGCCAGTCTTGCAAGATAGAATTCGAGTCTTGGTAGTGGGAACGGGGAGGAAACCTTTAGAAACTAGAGAAAGGTTGTATTTCTCATCATTGTTACATCGCACCATGACTGGCTCATCTCCTCCCCGCCCAGAGAGATTATTGTGTGCATGTTGACTCTCATAATGGTCTCAGGTATGAGAAAGACACCCCTCTCTCAGCAGACTGGGAAGCATGGGTTTAAGCCTCCGGTGATGTGGATGTTGACATTTGGAAATGCTGCATTAGACACGTGACCTTCCAGTGAGCCATTTCAAAAAGATTCAATGATCCAATCAGTTGACAGTGAAATTGAAGAAGAAATGGCCAAACAAAAAATATGCAACCTATTTCATAAGGAAATAAATGCAGATTATAATAGCGATAGGAGTCTACTTGTTACCAGTGAGGTTGGTGAATGTTAACCAAACATCCTGTATATACTCGAGTATAAGCCGACTGGAATATCAACCAAGGCACCTAATTTTACCACCAAAAAATACATTAAAACTGTGCTTATACACGAGCATATATGGTATTACAATGGCATAGTGAAACAGACACTCTCCTGCTGGGAGGGTGGTAGAAGTCAGAGCCTCTGAGACTTTCCTATTAGGGTTTTGGATAGTCAAGGCCAGGATTAGAAACTTATAAATCTCTTTGTGTAGGAATTTCAATTTTAGGAGTTATGTTGATTATATTTCCACCTACTGAGATGTATGTAAGAATGTTTGGTACATAATTCTTGTGAGATGCTTAAAAAAAAAAATCAAATTTCAATGACCTAAATGTATACCAAGATGGTTATTTGTTAAATTAGTGCCTTTTATTTGGTGAAAAACTATGCAGGACTTCAGAATACATCTGTTTTAAGATTTCTAAGACAGGAGATTAAATGACAAAGTAAGACACACACGCACCCAACCCAAACCCCTCTGCCGTCGAGTCAGGTTTGACTCATAGCAACTGAGGCAACAGGTCTTGCAGCAGAAGACAGCCTCGCCTTTCCCCATCACCGTGGCTGGCAGGTTTGAGTCCCTGGCCTTTGTTTAGTAGTGCACCCTTACCTGATAGCATAATACACATAGGTGATAACATTTTATTTTTTATTTTAAATCTATATACACACTCACAGAAGAAAAGAGTAGGCCCCCTAGTTTGGTTTCGCATCTGGGGCGTCAACCAACTTCTTAAAGAAAATAGTTGAAACAAGCAATGAAATGGTCACACCCATCCCTCAAAGACGAAGAGGGAGAGTAAAGTGCTATTTACATAGTTTTTGCATTGTATTAGGTATTAGAAGTAATCTGGAGATGATTCTAAACACATAGGTGGGCATTTGTATCTTATATGCAAATACTGTGGTATCTCATATACTGGACTTGAGCATCCTCACATTGTGGTATCTGATAGGATCCTGGAAGTAATCTCACATGGATATTGAGGGATGAGTATATATCTGCATTAATCAAAAAACTACATGGTGGCATGACTAAAGAGTGACTGATGCAGAGCTTCTTAGGGATTTTTATTTTTCCCTTTTCTTTTTTTAAAATTTTGTTCACTTTATTTTTTTAAAAGATCATTTTATTGGGGGCTCGTACAATTCTTATCACAATCCATACATACATCCATTGTGTCAAGCACATTTGTACATCCTTCTCAAAACATTTTCTTTCTACTTAAGCGCTTGATATCAGTTCCTCTCCCCCCCCCCACCCCCCAGCCTCCCTGCTCCTCCTCCCTCATGAACCCTTGATAATTTATAAATTAGTATTATTTTGTCATATTTTACACTGGCTGATGTCTCCCTTCACCCACTTTTCTGTTGTCCATCCCTCAGGGAGGAGGTTATATGTAGATCCTTGTCATTGGTAACCCTTTTCTACCCCACCTTCCCTCCACCCTCCAAGTATCGCCACTCATACCACTGGTCCTGAAGGGATCATCTGTCTTGGATTCCCTGTGTTTCCAGTTCCTATCTGTACCAGTGTATATCCTCTAGTCTAGCCAGATTTGTAAGGTAGAATTGGAATCATGATAGTGGGGGGAGGAAGCATTTAAGAGCTAGGGGAAAGTTGTCTGTTTCATCATTGCTACCCTGCACTCTGTCTGGCTTGTCACCTCTCCACCACCCTTCTGTAAGGGGGTGCCCAGTTGCCTACAGATGGGCTTTGCGTCTCTACTCTTTGGGTCTCTACTCTGCACTCACCCTCATTTACAATGATATGTCTTTTTGTTCCTTGATGCCTGATACCTGATCCCTTCGACACCTCGTGGTCACACAGGCTGGTGTGCTTCTTCCATATGGGCTTTGATGCTTCTGAGCTAGATGACTGCTTGTTTACCTGCAAGCCTTTAAGATCCCAGACGCTATATCTTTTGATAGCCAGTCACCATCAGTTTTCTTCACCACATTTGCTTATGCACACATTTGTCATCAGTGATCGTGTCAGGAAGGTGTGCATCATGGAATGCCAATTTAATAGAACAAAGAGTTCTTGCATTGAGTAAGTAC